CTGCTCCCCTCAGCATTGTATTTCAGTCAATCTGCCTGTTTCTGTTCCCCACTCTGTCTCTGGTGAATCCTCTCACCCCCCACAACTCTAACCTGTACCCCAGTTTTGTATGCATAAATAAATCTTTTTTAAAAAAGGAACTTACTATAGAACTTTATCATAATAAAAAATCATCTAGTCTCTCATTTCATAGCATTATATATAAAAATAATTTCAAAACAAAGTATTAAAATCAGTTCTAGAAATTTGAAATTACAACACTCAATTTAAGAACTGCTTGCAAGTATATCTGAGCAGTAGTCATTACTCAGATACCATGGCCCATTCAATACCTTCAATAAAACCACAAGCACTGGGATACAAGTCTCCCTCATAGCTCCTTACTCAAGCCCTGCTCTGATACTGTCATCATCAAGACGCAAACCATTTCTACTTTCTTTATCCAACTCCCACAGGTCATTCCCTAGCTCTCTGTCACCTTTGTTCAAATCTGCAGGCTCAAGTTAGACAGAGATCAATAGCAAATTATTTCTGTAAAGGGCCAATAGTAAATATTTTAGGCTTTACAAACCACAAGGCAAGATCAAGAATATAATGTAGGTACTTAAATAATAGGAAAAAATTCTCACTACTTTTTTTACAAATTAAAAATACAATAACTGACTACAATGCTTTATAATATAGGTCTATCAAAAAGAATGGTATTCTTTTGGGAGGTAACAATTCACTTCACTCATCAAAGTTAGTGTTCCATCAAATCAACTGCAAATGTTCATCTGTAAAAAACATTCTTAGCTCACAGGCCATCAAAGACAAGTAATAGGCTGAATTTGACCAAATACATCAACCTTTTACAAACCAAGATTAAAAATCAGAGGGACACAGGGTAACTTTGGGCTGCTACTGTACTAGTCATGGCTACTATGCTTCTGCTTACTGCTTTGGGAGCTTAACTACAACTCAAAGACAACTTCCAAAGGGATATAAGTTGGAGTTTAAAACAATTATGCTCGGTTATGTTAAGGTGTGAACTTACAAGGAAATCGGATCCTCAATAAAATACTTTTCTCCGGGTAAATAAAAGAATCATATGTAAATTGTAGGCAAATTTTAAAAATCACATCAGGTCTTAACAAGTCATACAGAAAAAACACTACACCCAGGAAGAAATAGAGCCTGTATTTGCCTAAACTGTGTTTCTACAAGACTTGTGAGCTAAAAAGCATTGGTAATGTAAAAGGAAGTGGAGGCAATCACTACACTACTTCCTTTGTTCTCAATCCTTCTTACACTGAAAAAAATGTATGACTTCAAAAATAAACAGCAATAATTTTTACTCATTATAGGAAAAAACACCTCCCAGCTTCTAGATCAGGGGTGAACAAACTACAGCTCACTGCTTATTTCTATATAGCCAGCTTGAAATCATTTTACATTTTTTTTTTTTTTTTTTTTTTTTTTTTTTTTTTTTTTTTAAGATTTATTTATTTATTTATACAAGCACTGGGTACAGTCAGAAGCACGGGAGGGTGAGAGAATTCACCAGAGCCAGAGTGGGGAGCAGAGCAGGCAGAAGGACCAAAGCACACTGCTGAGGGGAGCAGCGGGCGGCAGGAGAGGTCTGCGCGCCATGTGGGACCCTCCTCTGGTGGCCGGGGAGCAGCCGGGGATTGAACCGGCGCTGCAGAGGCTGCGGGCAGCTTCACAACCCAGCGCTCAACCGCTGCGCCACCGGGGAGGCCCATTTTACATTTTTAAATGGTGGGGGAAAGTTTCTTAAGTAACTTTTTATGATACGTGAACATAATATGAAATTCAAATTTTAGTGTCCATAAATTAAGTTTTATGGGAACAGAGCCATATTAGTTTCCAAATTGTCTATGGTTACTCTTTCGCCCTGCAATAGCACAGCTTCAGTAGTTATGACACAGCACACCCAGCTCTCTTTACAGAAAAACTTTGCCAAACTATATCCTAGATTATCAGCACTTTCATAACTAGAGGTTTCGGCCGCCAAACTAAAAACTACTTTGTTTTAGCAATTAAATAGGTTCCTGATTCCAAAAACAACAGTGACTGTTTAAGCCATTTATTTAAAGCCTACATTCATTCTGACCTATAGTTATTATTGTCATCAACTTTGAAAGCTGCAAAGTGATTATAAGGGAATATATACTGTATTTGTGAGAAGAACTGAGCCTACACAGAAGAGAAATTGAATACATTTAGATATTTGTAAAACATAAGGGGTTAGTATGGAATACCATTTCAAACTCAAATAATACATAATGCTTTTAAGCACTGTTTTCTCTTTTTTCAGCTTAACATTAGATGAAAATATTTCTGCACTCCATAAATTTTTCACTATGAAATTTCAATCAGTAACTTCGGTTCTTTGAGGCTAAAGCAAAAGTCCATGCTATGTATTCACTGTAAATTTTGTTGAGTATTACAGTCATGTCCAATACTAATAACGATAAGTGTAGCTCAACTGTGTTGGTGAGTTGGCACAGTGGCACATCTACATTGTCTTTCTACTTTTAAGTTCCCATTAGCTCTTGCATCATTTGTTTCTGTGTGTGAACTGCCTCAAAAAAAAAAAAAAAAAAAAAAAAACTTTAAGCTCGAGAAGTTAATTTTTTTCCCCAGTTGTATTTTACTATATTTTAGAGGGGATGGACATTACTTATAATACTTGAGCACTGAGAGTTTAAGGAAGTTTCCGATAAATCCTTTGTGAATAGCAGGACGCTATCGCAAACTGCAATTGTTAGGATTATGCATTTCTAATGGTCACAACATGCCCAAGCACATAAAACATGTTTGGCAATAAGCCTAAATCTGTAATTTGTTGCAACTATTTCAGATAATGATTTGACTTCACTAGTATTTGTTTCGTTCAACATTAATCTTGCTATCCCCATTCTATGTTAATTTTCAAAACAATTCTATGTTGACTTCAATTCCTGTGGTGCAACACAAAGACTCTTCGAGTGGGACTTACATGACATGGGAGACTACATAAGAAAAGCATATGCAACTAAAGACAATGCCCCTGAGCAGGACTTGAATGATACACGTGGAATCTTCAACCAGGAAAATACTTTGGCACCCATGCAAAACGATATCCTGTAAACATCTGTTCAATATTTATTCAGAGAAGTCAAAGTGCTCTATGAGGGCAGGGAGTCGTGGCAGGGTGGAAAAAGAATATGGGTGTGTCCCAACCAACCTTTCCAAGGTACTGCTCTATTATCCAGAAATTCAGGTCCGGTCCTAACTCACACAGCCCACTCAGCACAACAGAAGCGCTGCGGGGTTGATCAGGTTCACCCTCAAGAAACGGCAATTAGTCACCAAAGGCAATTATTACTTAACTGCCGGCACCTTCCACCCAAAATATCAGCGTTCCTTCCAACCACAAACAACACTGTCCTCGGAAGGAACTCCCGGCGACTGCTTTCTCCCTCTCCTTAGGGTTTCTGAGCAGTTTTCACGCCCCAGTGATGTTTTGAGTGGCGCTTCTACCGCCCGGCCGCGGCTTCGGCTCTGCCCCTGGAGGGGCCCTTCCGCCTCCGGGCATCCGCGGCGCGGGAGGCGCAGGGGACCCCGGCCGCCGCGACCCCGCAGCCGCGACCCCGCCGGAGCGAGCACTGTCCAGCCTCCAGCCCGGGGAGCCACCGCTCGGGGCGCGCCGCAGCCTGGGCCTGCGTGAAGTGGGTTCCCTCCCACCCCGGCTCCTCCGGCGGGCGCGGTCGGGGCTGGGGCCGGCGCGCGCGGCGGTCCGCGGCGGGAGGCAGGGCGGGGGGCGGGGGCGGCGGGGAGGGGGTGTTGCGCGACCCGGCGGCGGGGTCGGGACGGCCGGCGGCTCCACACCAACTCCGCCTCGGCCTGGCCCCGGGGCGCGGGACGCCGAGGCGCTCGGCCGCCGCCGAGGGAGGACAAGCGCGGACACGCGCTGCCGCCGGCCTGCCGCCGCCCCCCGCGGGCTCCCGGGACCTTGCAGGCCCCTGCCTCACCTTTTGGGGCGGCCATCGCGTCCGGACAGCTCGGCGCGGAACTGACGCGCGCTCCCGCCGCGCGCCGCGCGCAGGACACCCGGGCCCGCCTCCTGCGGTCATAGAGACGAGCGCTGGCGGCCTAGAGCGCCCACCCGCCGCCCGCCCGCCCTCCGGCTTCCGCGCTTCGAGTAGGTTCAGGAATCCCCGCGACGCCTTAAAATGGGAAGAACCCGCAGGGACGGCTGGCCCGCACCGCCCAACCCGTGCTAGCAAGAGCGTGAAACTCTGTTGCCAGGCGTTATTCTGTGACCTGCAACTCCCACCTAGCGAGCGAAGCTGAGACTAGGGAGCCCAACCGGCCTTCTGGGAAATGTAGTCTTCACCATGGTGTTCGGCGGCAAATGAAATCAGATTTAGTGATTCAGAGCTGTTGTAGATGGCCCTAAAACTGCTAAAGCAACAGAAATTACTTTTTAAAACTTTAAGACCTACCTTTTTCTCATCTTCCACTGTCACCTCTGTGCTGGAGGTAAAAACCAAAAATAATAAAGGAGGTTGCAAATTCAAATATGGTAAATTAAAAGAGTTTATTTTATAATAAATTATTAAAAGTGATAAGGTCCAAAGTATACTATACTAAAGCATTAAACATAAAAAAAGGCAAATTCAGACACCTAGACATAGTTGTTTCCATGACAGTTTAAAGCATATTATTTTCATTCTGCTAAGAAAAAACCCAAAAACCAAATTGCTATGTTATTATTTTAAAACTAGTATTCACTATGGATATTACTACAGACAAGCCAAAAGAACGTTGCATTTTATAACTAAGGAAAAAATACAAAAAGACAATGTTAAATTCAGTGTTAAACACATACTTTGCTTTTTCCTTCCCTTTCCTAAAATATTATGTCCCCCCTTCATTAAATTTCATATTTGCCCCTTCGCACCATCCATGACCACATGTCCTAATTATTGTCAGGGATTCCCTGACTCCCAAACCCCTCTCCCACAATCAATCTTCTGTTCAAGAAGAATCTACAGTGATTTTCTAATGTCTTAACAACATATTTTTATGGCCGCCTTGCAAAAGCTACTAACTCTAACTTATCCACCTTTATTTATCCACCTTCACTTCCTACCACTTCCCAAAAGTAATCTCCCTTTCTCTGGCTCTTTTCCAATGATTTTGCTGCTGAACTCCTTATCAACTCCTACCCTGACTACCAAAATAAAAACTCTGCCGCTTAGTTTGCCCTTCATTCATTCAAGACACTATATAAATGCCAAGAATTTAAAAATGATTAAAACAGTTCAAATCCTAAGAAAATCACAATCTAACAGGGAGAATAGACAAATGCATGTACATCTGTTTACTTTAAGTGCATTAAGAGTATGAGTAAATTCCAGTGAAAACCCAAAGGAAGAAACAACTAACTCTCTCAAAGGTGATACGGAAATTTTCACTGAAAAGATAAAATCTGATCAAATTTAGGACCAACAGAATTTGATAAGATTCCAGGTGACAGAATGAAAAAAGCAAGAGTAGAAAATAGTGGTATTTAAAGGCCATGACATATATGAAGAGTTGTTCATACTAAGTTTTAAAATTTTAATGTTTAACGTTACATGATTTTTAAAATAAATAAACTTCTAGTCATAATAATCTTTATTAATACCTAAATGGCATCATAATTTCAGGATTATTGCTAACAAACTTTTTTAACAAACAAATGATGGACTCTTACTTTACAATTTTAATGAAATGAAACGCAATACAGAAAACAACTTTTAATGTTTCATAGCAGATTGACAGTGAATGTAAATGAGAATCGAAAGAACATTCATACATCAATGAATGTGCCAGTCCCACAAAATTAACTTATTTTCATGGATGGAAATTTTTTTTTCAATATTTACCATTGTTCATATTTTTAACATATGGTCTCTAGGTTTCATCAACAGCTCTGGTTAAGTTCACCTTGACCCCGAAGGTGGTTTTAGTCTGTCCCCCACGGAGACCAGCTAAGTAAATCTGGGGTCTGGGTACTCGGGTACTGCCTTCTCTCATAGATTGAGTACCAACATTCTTTAATGGGTACACCTGTGAATAATTTTCTCTTCTCATGTGACTAAGATCAGTTTGTACCGAATGAGTCACTTTCTGACGCAAATTGGCCTAAGTAGAAAGAGAATATATAGAAGTTTATTTTTATAGAGGTAACACTGGTTTACAACACTGTAAAAGTTTCAGGTGGATAGCTTCAGAGCTGGACTATATATGCCACACCACACCCACTACCAAAGGTCTAGATGCTAAATCCACCACCATCCAATCAAACCCCTCTATCTGATCCATCTGTCCCCACACCTTTCCCCTCTGATAACTTCCATTTTGTGTCCGAATCTGAGTTTGTTTTGCTTTGGCAACATTTCTTTTACTCCTTTGATTTATTTCACCTAACATAATCCCCTCAAGTGCCATCCTATTTTTTTTTTTTTTAAGACCAAAGAGCTTCTACCAGACAGGGTAGAAGCAAGGGAAATAATGTGGTTAGTGGGTGTAAGGTAAGGAAAAATGTCAGGCTTTTCTGCCCTCCTGTCATCAAGATAGATAATGGATCCTTGCGGTCCTGAATGCATGCCTGATAGCGGGCACCTGGAATAGGGTGTGGCATAGGTAGATGGGATTCACCTGGGCTGAGACTGGGCTTTTAAGGGCAGCGTCACGGGGACGCCAGTAGAAGCCAAGAACGAACGAAAGCAGAGAGAGAAGCAAGAGAAGCAGAAACTGAGAGAAGGCCGGAGAGCCAAGATAGAATGAAGACTTGCTGGGGGCTGGGAGGACTGCCAGCCTCCAGGCCCCCCAGAATCCTTACCTGCTGTGTACCGAGTAAATCCCAATAAAAAGGCCTGCAAAAAGCCACTGAGGGCTCTAGGACTCTGACTTCTCCTTTTCTGCTGGATCAGAAAACCTACTCAGTGTCATTCCTGCCTCCTACAGTGGGACAACCATGAGAGACTAAGAGACAAAGGCTAGACAAATATGACAACAGGACTCTGACCCACAGCCTCTGTAGCAACCAGCCCAGGACAGTCAGGATTTGATAAGCTTCCTCACCTTCTGGCTGCCCCATGGTCTATCGTCCCACATTTCCCTGCTCCTCTACCCATCCACCCCCGCCCCAATTCCAATTCAGGGCCAACTAGAGAAATCTATCAACCAGTTAGCCAGTTTCCAGTGCCCCATGTCAACAACCTCTAATTAGAGAATATCTGAATCCTTCCCTTATTCACTACAAGACTTTCCCGCTCCTCTGCCTGTCTCTGAATCTCTGCCAAATCCAAGTGATTGTGGCCTACTCCCTTGGCAGAGCAAGCTTTGAACAAAGAGTCTTTATTCTCATTTGGAGAGGCTTCAGTGATTTCAGTTAAAGAGATGGGTAAAATGTACTAAGAAAAGGCTACAAAGATAGATAGATAGATAGATAGATAGATAGATAGATAGATAGATAGATAGATAGATAGATAGATAGATAGATGAGGTCATTTCCCTTATACTATAAATATTCTGCTATTCAAAATAACAAGATACTATAAAAAAATGGTGAATAGGGAGAATTCCACTGAGGCAGTCAAGGATGAGAATTTCAAAGAGGATTTAAGGGTAAGTACTACTGTGATTAATGTGAATGAGAATCAGAAGGATGCAACTGCCTAGTGTCTAGAGAGAACATGTTGGTGATAAAGAGGGCTGAGGACAGCTTCACAGCACTGCGCTCAACCCGCTGCGCCACCGGGGAGGCCCAAGAGGGAACAGTATTTGTGATATAACAGAGGTAACATTCTACTCCTCAAAAAAATAAAAAACACCTGAAAGAAAAGGGTATATATACTTTAAGTCATTACAGGAAGTTGAGAGTACTTTAAATATTAGTATCTTATAGATTAATACAGTAAGCTAAAACTACTATAGATACAAAATATTAAAAATATATAGATCAGGGCCCCCTTGGTGGTGGGAAGGGTTAAGCTGTGAAGCTGTCCACAGCCTCTGCAGTACAAGTTCAATCTGCCGGCCAGGGAGATATCCACATGGCAAAGCAGACCTCTCCTGTCTCGCCACTGCTCCCCTCAGCAGTGTATTTTAGTCAGTCTGCCCTTTCTGTTCCCTGCTCTGTTTCTGGTGAATCCTCTCACCCCCCACACCTCTGGCCTGTACCCCAGTTCTTGTATGCATAAATAAATCTTTAAAAATATATATACAGATCAAAGAAGAGACACTATCATTGTTATAGTTATTACATGACATAATTTAAGATTAGTTTCATGGTTCTGTGTTCTATATATGCTTAAAATTAGAAGATAATCTTATAATGTAAAGCTGGCAATTATAAACTATGCTAATTATTTTTATATTAGCAAAAAACTCCATGCACAACTCATAAATAATTCAGCTCTATGAAAAACAGCCTTGGGCCTCCCCCGTGGCGCAGCTGCTGAGCGCTGGGTTGCGAAGCTGCCCGCAGCCTCTGCAGCGCCGGTTCGATCCCTGGCTGCTCCCCGGCCACCAGAGGAGGGTCCCGCATGGCGCGCAGACCTCTCCTGCCGCCCGCTGCTCCCCTCAGCAGTGTACTTCGGTCCTTCTGCCTGCTCTGCTCCCCGCTCTGGCTGAATTCTCTCACCCTCCCGCGCTTCTGACTGTACCCAGTGCTTGTATAAATAAATAAAAATAAATCTTTAAAAAAAAAAAAAAAGAAAAAGAAAAACAGCCTTAACATTCCCCAACTTATAATTATAGAAAATATTGTTACAAACCAGTTTTATAGCTTTTCTTCTCAATTCCCATTCATTCCACTCATATGATCTTACAATCGTTGGTGGCAATATGTGTGTATCCGTCTGTGTATTACTTTCACACATTGTAATTGGTTTTATATATTGTTTGTCAACATCTTTCATCTAAAGAAATGGAGTTTTATAATTAACATTTAGGAAAATATTAGCTATAGGTAACTCAAAATATTTAGCTAAATCTTGCAAATAATTAAAAAAACAAGAATTGTTGAACATGGAATATGTGTATAAATGCCAGCAGAGAAAAGTAATTATTTTCTTGTGCATTATGGCTTTGTGCCTGACTTTTTAAACTTAATGAGAAAGTGTATTTTTGAAGGGGTAAACCTAACATTACTCATGCTCAAGTCAAATGCTCCTCTCCAATTTTAACAATTAAAAGCATATTTAGGGCCTCCCCGGTGGCGCAGCTGTTGAGCGCTGGGTTGCGAAGCTGCCCGCAGCCTCTGCAGCGCCGGTTCGATCCCTGGCTGCTCCCGGCCACCGGAGGTGGGTCCCACATGGCGCGCAGACCTCTCCTGCCGCCCGCTGCTCCCCTCAGCAGTGTACTTCGGTCCTTCTGCCTGCTCTGCTCCCCGCTCTGGCTCTAGTGAATTCTCTCACCCTCCCACGCTTCTGAATGTACCCAGTGCTTGTATAAATAAATAATAAATCTTTAAAAAATAATAAAAAATAAAAAAATAAAAGCATAATTAATACCTTGTTGGAATGGAAAGTTTAAAATAGCTATTAAGCATTAAGTGAAAATCACATCTGTTTAAAGTACTGAAGCATCCTTAGGATATATCTTAAATTATGTATACATAGCTTGATTACGATCTAATTTTTTTTGTTTTTATTTTTTATTTTTTTTAGTTGAATATGTTCATTTTCTGCTGGGTCACCCAGCAGAAGGTTCACTATTTAAATAGTAAGTATTCAGTAATTCCAGTTCAAACAAGGTTTGATTATGCTGGCTATGAAGTTGCTGGAGTATAGATATTCAAAGGTTAAGGAACTCAGCTCATAGCAAAGAAAGAGAGATCAACTCCTTTCCCCAAATCAATCAATAGATCAGGTATAGCCAAGATTCTATACAGAAAAAGGGGTGGGAAAATTTACCATATATCAAGACTTATTATAAGGTTATAGTGAGATATAGAGCTTTTTTTTTTTTAAATATGGAATAACCTGACAGAATAGAGTTTTTTTTTAAAAAAAAAAAAACAGTCTGTCACATAAGATGCTGTAGATCAACAGGGAAAAGAGCACTGAACAAATGGTCTGGGACAATTCACTATCACCCAATCAAATGGAATCAAACGGAAAAATTACACTGAGCATAGGATATTTCACCTCCCACCAGATATAAAAAACAAATTCAGTTGGATTAAAGACTAGTGGGGCATAAAGTAAAAAGCATTAAGTAAAAATCACATCTGTTTAAAGTATTGAAGCATTCTTAGGATATATCTTTTAAAAAAATTGTTTTTCAAAAACAAAACAGAAAATATTTTTATGGCCTAAGAATATGTGAGGCTTTCTTAAACCATAAAATGGTTCAAGGCACAAATAAACAGGAGTGACAAATTATACACTAAAACGAACACCTTTTGCTCATCAAAAAGGTACCACAAAAAAAAAGAAGAAAAAAATGAATGGTACATGAATGGTAACAATTTCACAAATAAGTGCCAAGAGAAAGCAAAAAGAGTAAGGCTGAAGAGAGTACACAGCAAGCTCTGAGATATAGTAATGTTTGTTTTCTTGTTATAAACCATGGATACAGTATTTAGTATTTTTATACAATCGTACATTTTCTAAATATCTTGGCCTGTATAAATAATTTTACTGTTAAAAGTTACAGTTCTATTATTTATTAAAATGAGTAGGACATATTTCCCCCATGTATCTTTTTGTTTGTTTGTTTTTCCCCCATGTATCTTTATTAGCCTTTTAATTTTAGATTTTAAATTTATCTTTCATACTGTTTTAGAAGTAGGCAAAGGATAAAATATACTAAAACAATTAATTTAATCAGATCATGATTACTGAAACTATTAATGGCAAAAAAAAAGCATGTGATACTTTTATGGATGGAAACACCCAACCTAAAATACGTAAATCTCCATTAAAAATATTTTGTTATTTTTTAAAAAATATTTTCTTATTTTTAATGCAATTCCTATTAAAATCCCAGAAAGATCTGGGAGGGGGTGGAATTTGGCAAAGTTATTAAGAAATTTACGTAAGGATATAAAGATCCATGAGACATAAGATAATTTTGAAAAAAATAAAAGGCAGAGAAGAGGACTTGTTGTATGAGATGATAAAATATATTACAAAGCAGTAGTAACTAAAGCAATATAGGGTCATCCTAGAGTTAACAAAAATACCAGTGGAACAGAATTGAGAACCTACAAACAAATTCATTTCATATAAGAATTAATTGCCAATACAGTAAAGGTGGCAGCATGTGTAGTGGGAAAGTCAAACATTATAGTAGATAATATCAGGAAACTAGGCACACTAAATGAAGAATACTACTACTACATTAGGAAAATCAAAAGCAGAACTCTTTATTTTCTCCAAATGGACTAAAGACCTATATGTGAAAAACAGAACAGAAGAAAATGAAAACTAATAACTTTAGGATAGAGAAGGATTTCCAAAATAAGACCTCAGAAAGCACAATCTTTAAAGGAAAAAAGTAATAGATATGACTACATTAAAATTAAGGGTGTGTTATTCAATGAAGGTTTCAGACAAAGCTATAAGAAAGGAGGCAGGCTGGGAAACAGCATTTGAACTTTTATAACTGGCAATGGATTAATACTTAGAAGACAGAGATCTCCTGTAAATCAGCAAGTTAAAGACAGAAAGAGTAGTACAGAGAAAGAAATCCAGGAAAGGTATGAACAGTTGACACCTGAATGGGTGACATATATACAAGGAAATGAAGAAAAGCAAAGTGTAACAGATACAAGAAGAGATGATGAAGTTCACTATCAGAAAGATGTACAGCAAAACAAATAGCCATCCTATTGGCAAAAAAAAAATGGTATATCCACATAATAGCCAAGTACTAGCAGGTACTAGCAGGATTACTGGTAAGTGACAAAACCCCAGAAACTAGAGTTAAAATTGGTCCAGTAATTTTGAGAGCAATTATCTCAGTTCAGTCAAAGGTTGAAGTTCTATTATCTGATCCACATACTGAAGGATTCTGAACAGACCAAAGTCTCCACAACGGGAGAAACTTTTACTCTTCTGGAGAATTGCCTCAACCAAAAGGAAGCAGGAGTGTCAGATGAACACATTGGTAGCAAGAGCTAGAGCACCAACTGAGCTGTCCAAGGTTCTGATGCCACAACTGTTTGCACCCTCACCCCATCCAACCACTGAGTCCATAGCTTGTTCCCAGAGTTTCTGCCCAAGTGCTGATTACCCCGTGTTTCACTTGTCACTAGCCTGACCATCCTCTTGCCAGCTGCTTGATGACTTATCCAAACCAACCTGTTTCACAGTCATAATGATCATGAAAATAACAAATAATAAACATTTTAAACCATATATTTTTAGGTTTTTATTTTAGTGAGTTAAAAAGAGAGGAACTGAATGAGAAAGAAGAGATACTAAGTAATTAAAAGGTGAACAATAAAAATGAAAGACTAGAGGAGAAACTGAGAATATTCAGCATTAGAATGAGAGCTCCACACCAGGTAAGGATTTTTGTTCATTGCTAAATCCCCTGTGCCAAGAATAGTACCTAGCACACAGTAAGAGACTCAGTAAATATCTGCTGAATAAATTAACAAAAAGGCACCTGTATACAAAGAAACATACCTTCCAATCCATTTTGCAGTCTTCCAGATTAGTGTAACTTAAACCTGTTAAGTTATTGTACAATTCACTATAAAGTAAATTATTGCCTATGTTATTTGTGCTGAGGACCTGCAATTTTAGATAAGGAAATACTGTCGATTAATTTATCTGTCCAAATGCAGTCTTTGTCTTTCAGATTTTTCCAGTCTTAATTCATCATGGGATTCATTATCTTTTTTTCAGTACCCTATGTGGATTTTATTCATGGCTATTTTCAGATAACCTATAAAAGTCTTCATCTGACCTCTTCTCTGCCTGGACTTGAGAACCATTCCACAACAAAATAAAATTTTTTAATGAATTATACTTTTGAATATCACAAATTTTTAAAATACTAGCCCTGCTTACCTGGGAATATGGTATGAGAGTTTCAAACTGTTGATGAAGTTCCAGTAACTGAATCAATTCTGCATTTTTTTTCGCCTTTTCTCTAACTAAATCAATATACTTTTCAGGATTTTCTGCAAATAAATATGCAGCATCTCTCGTATTGAAAGTGTAATACTGTTCTTTATATTTCAAAATTCCAATTGCTGGATTTCCTGAAAATTAGGAAAAGGAGTGATTTGGGCATGCAGTATTAAGTGATTTTTATATTCATAGTATACCACAGAACTTTTCTCTATACACTCCATTTTTAATCTATTACGTAGGTGTTTATTTTGCTACAAAGCTATAACTAGTAATTTTAAATTATATGTGAAATTACTTTGTGAAAGGACTATTAAGTTAAATGTTCTTATTTTGAAGGATAATTTTATTTAAAAAAATATTTCACTATTCAGATGTCAGATGTTTAAAAATCTTTTATGAGAAGTTATCTTTAGTTATCTGTCAGGTTTTTCAAAATGTCCTTGAACTTGCTTTAACGTTTAATGTCTGGAAGGAAGGGAAGGCTGATATTTTTAATTGGACAATCAGTGAAGGCTGAATAAAATGAAGGAGAATGACATGTAGCTATATGGGGACAGAGCTTGCCCAAGAGAAGGAAATAGCTAGCACAAAGGCTGTGAGGTAAAAATTGGCTTGGAATGTTAAAGAATAGAAAGGAGGGCAGTGGGGCTGAAGTACTGAGCAAAGGAAAAGATGGTAAGCAATCAAATCAGTGAAGCCATCTGAAAAAGGATCTGACTGCAAGCCACAGTGTCACCTTGAGCTCTAAGCCATGAGGTCTGTGGTCCCAACTGGAAGGAAAGAAATCCTACAGAATTGCTCTGATGTAGTGCAGGTTGCTGCTGCCCAGAAAAACATTGTAGTAAGTAGACATAATGTAGTAAAGGGAAATAAAGTAATCAGGACTAGCAAAATTAGAGAGGATTTTGAAAAACCCATAGTTGCAAAGTCTTTCTACTTCTCTCTTTCTTCCTCTTTCTTAGAATCAGAGTTGGCAGAATTTGGAAGGGAATAAACAGACATCTTATTTGGTCTTTCTATTTTTCCTGATGCAAAAACTGAGGTGCACAAAGGCATGACATTTGCTGAAGATAACCACAGTTCACAATGGTATAACTGGAACTAGAAACCAGGTTCTCCATAATCCTAGCCCATAGACTTTGCAAGCATGTCAGTGACCTCTGCCACTAACCAGCTTCATATTTTTCTCTGTGTGTGGCTCTCCTGGCACCTCTTCTGATTTGTAAAGAAAAGAGGAAGAACAGAAAAGAAAAACAGGGCCTCCCCTGGTGGTGCAGCGGTTGAGCGCTGGGCTATGAAGCTGCCCGCAGCCTCTGCTGTGCCGGTTCGATCCCCGGCCACCAGGTGAGAGTCCCACATGGCGCGCAGACCTCTCCTGCAGAACCCGCTGCTCCCCTCAGCAGTGTACTTCATCAGTCTGCCTGCTCTGCTCCCCACTCTGGCTCTGGTGAATTCGCTCACCCTCCCGCACTTCTGACTGTACCCAGTGCTTGTATAAATAAATAAATAAATAAACAAACAAATAAATAAATAAAAAGAAAGAAAGAAAAGAAAAACATAAAAGACAAGGAAAAGAAAGGAAAAAATCTACATTCCATCTCTTTTCACTTCCACTTGGCTCTTGTTTGCTTTCTCCCCAGTATCAATGACCATCACAGGGCCTCAGAATACTATTTTCTCAGTCCCCATGATGAACCCTTTAATTATTCCCATTCCAAAATATCTGATACCATAAAAAATGAAATCAATTTGTGCATTAGTTAGCCTGCATACACACAACCCCAACAATTCTTTGTAATGAAGAAAGTTCATACCCAATTATGAAACATTAAAAAATAAAGGGAGGGCCCCTCCCTGGTGGCACAAGGGGTTAAGCACTGTACTATGAAGCAATCTACAGCCTCTGCAGCACAAGTTCGATCCCAGCTGGCCAGGGAGAAACCACATAGCAAAGCAGACCTCTCCTGTCTCGCCCACTGCTCCCCTCAGCAGTGTATTTCAGTCAGTCTGCCTGTTCTGCTCCCCACTCTGTCTCTGGTGAATCCTCTCACCCCCCACATCTCTGGCCTATACCCCAGCTCTTGTATGCATAAATAAATAAATCTTTAAAAAAAATAAAGGGAGGAAGAGACTAGTGGTGGAAGAATCTAGCCCTAGCTGACTTCCTGTTATTCCCAACACAAGCATTTTTTTGGATAATAATTTACTTCATCATAATTTCTGAGTTACTTTTTGTTTAGGAGAAGCTTTAGTAATATCTACATCATAGAGAAATGTTACTTGACAAAATACTGGCCTTTTTCTTAGAGGGGTCTTACATAGACATCTTGATCTATGTTAATGGAATGTAACCATAAAAAGACAAAGAATATTTTTTAATAAACAAATCAGTCAATATAGTGTTGTTCTTTCAAATAACTATTTGGAAGATAATATCTTTTAGTAACACTGTGTAGCACGTCTAGACTCCCTCACGGGGCATGTTAGTCAGCCCCAATGTTATGATACTATAGCATCCATATCCACTACAGACACACACCATTACTTATCATTTATATAATATTATCTTGTTTATGACAGACTACGAGATTAGCTCCTTTCCTAGTTTGCCATCAGAGTCTACAAAGTTTTAAAGAGTGATTAATTGAAAATGGTGGTGCTCTGCAAAAAAAAAAAAAAACTAACTAAGGAAGGGAAGGAGGGACAATATTATTCCTAAGGAATACCTGGAAGGAGAAGACCATCTGTTGTAGCAAACGTGTAAGCACAAAATCCCCGATACTGAATTAACAACTTATCAAAATTTGCTGTTGTTTCAGGGAAAAGCCATTCTAGTTTTCTGAAATCCACCAGTTGTACTCTATTCTCTAAAATGAAAAAAGAGGACAGGGAAAACATTATTCAGTGAGAAGAGGAAACGACCTAATGATATGAGCAGTAAAGTTTGCTATAGATCAACTTCACTCAAGATAGGATAGCTCTTAATAACATATTAGGTGGCAAAATACTTTAACTATAATATTAGGAACTATTATTTCTTGAAACAGAGGAGAATGTTCTGAGCAGGAAGAATCAAGGAAATTTAGTAACTTAGTTGTGACAACAAGATGAATAATTTTATTCTTTGCACTTTAAAAATTCTTCCTACTGTTACCTATTTACTTTGATAAGTAAATTGGCTAATTTTTTACACAAATAAAAAATTGTATTTATAAAACATTGTTCCACCAAAATTCTTAGCTTTCTCAATCTGACCTACACTTCTGTGCCTGGCGCTATTGTAACACCACAAATGACTCTGTGGCTACAACTAGAGGTACATCTATTCCTTGGGGGAAATGAACCTCCCTGGTTGTTGTTTGTTTTTGTTTTTTTTTTTTTTTCCTAATACATCTGGAAGCCTGAATAGCTATGCAATGTGACAAGCGTAAATTAAATTCTTTCTGAAGAACATTAGGCCTCCCAATTCACTGGCGCAGTAACCTCTACTATTCTGTGGCTAAAAAGTTTTGAAATATGGTGGGAAATAACACATCTAAATCCAAGAAGTTGCAAGTAAACAGTCTTGCCAAAATGGATGAGTTGAATGTCCACTAACAAAGTGACTTTAACTTTCAACTTCATCTAGTATTTCATAGATAGGCTGTTTTAATAAAATGAATTCAGTAGGAAAACTTTGAACTGTAAGCATCTTGAATATCTTTGACTTAGATTCCAGATTTTATGTATTCAATGAAAAGAGTGGAAATTACTGCTACATTTTTATTTTCCACTTTTACAAAAATAGAATTTGAAAAGGACATTTAGAGAGCAAATAATCTAATTTCATATTCTGCAAAAGCTTCCGGTTCTAGGCAAAAACTCAACTCCCAGATTGTATTTTGGCATCTTTTCTGAATTTCCAGTTGTCTTTAACAATAGACAATACAATAAAATATATAAAAATAGAATCTGTCTTCTATTAAAAGAAGCCAAAAAAGTAAAAAGGAGTATATTGATAAAGATAGTCTTCCTATGAAAATCAGTGCATCTCTAAAAGGCACTAAAATAAGTTTGATTAATTTACAGGGATAAAATTTACTGTTTTACCAATTTCAACCTGAATCTGAGGTACATATGTGGCAAAGAGCAATCCAAACAAATGGAGCTTTATTTGCAAAAAACGAGCAAGGATTAATAGCCTTTCTACCCCATATCAACAATAAAATCACTAAGACTACAATAGAAATTGTTAACCAACACACTGATAGTAATGTTAGGACTAGATTTTGCTGGATAGAAAGAGATTCAGCTTACATATGTCTGTCTTCCCATATTTTCTACATGGAACATAAGTACTCTTATAATCAAGAAAAATGCTTAATACTTTATCAGAAAGGTATAACACTAAATGTTAATACCAAAAAGTGACTTTATTTTGGAAGTAATTTTAAGAGGCAAAGGAAATAATGGCTGATTCCCATTACCCATGTGTTCTTTCATTCTACACACATCAGTTTTCACAGTTACTCCTTCAAGAAGATCTTGCAATACTTTCTCAGGAAAGAGTAGTTCATGAGAGCCCAGAAAGGGCGCAAGGTGAGTAGTTAAATTAGTGAGGACACTAATTAAAACAGTTTCGTCCTGAAAACCAGTCCACAGATTAGAAAGTGCAATGAAGATGGGCTGAGGAAAAAAAAATATTTAAAATGTCACTGCTGAAAAAAATATAAATCATTGTACTTTTTAAAATAAATACAAATTTTACTTGTAAAAAAATTAATTCTTACGATGATAATCTCATGAGGTCAGACACAAGAATCTAGCTAGAAATTGGATTAATGAATTATGAGAAAATAAACTTGTATTTTATAATGGTAAGACTTTCACAAAGTGAATTTACTCCCAAAAAGTCAAACACATTTGATCCACTAAGAAAGATTTATGGATACTTAGGGCCTCCCCGGTGGCACAGCAGTTGAGCGCTGGTTGTGAAGCTGCCCGCAGCCTCTGCAGCGCTGGCTCGATCCCCGGCTGCTCCCCAGCCACCGGAGGAGGGTCCCACATGGCGCGCAGACCTCTCCTGCTGCCCACTGCTCCCCTCAGCAGTGTACTTCGGTCCTTCTGCCTGCTCTGCTCCCCGCTCTGGCTCTGGTGAATTCTCTCACCCTCCTGTGCTTCTGACTGTACCCAGTGCTTAAATAAATAAATAAATAAATCTTAAAAAAAAAAAAAAAAAAGAAAGATTTATGGATACTTTACCTCAAAAAATCTAGGGGAGGGCCTCCCTGGTGGCGCAGCGGGTTGAGCGCAGCGCTGTGAAGCTGTCTGCAGCCTCTGCAGTGCATGTTCCATTCCCGGCCAGATAGGGAGAAACCCACATGGCACAGCAGACCTCTCCTGCCTCGCCCACTGCTCCCCTCAGAAGTGTGTTTCACTCAGACTGCCTGTTCTGCTCCCTACTCTGTCTCTGGTAAATTCTCTCACCCTCCCATGCCTCTGACCTATACCCCAGTTCTTGTATAAATAAATAAATCTTTTTTTAAAAAAAAGTCAAGGGGAAATTATCTTCTTTTTTGGTAAATATGACTCATTATAATTAGGTTTATCTGGAGAAATCATGATTCAAATATTCTGGAGATTCTAGAGATATATAAAGTTAAATATGACTCATTATAATTAGGTTTATCTGGAGAAATCATGATTCAAATATTCTGGAGAGTCTAGAGATATATCTTAAGGCATGTGTTGTATTGAGGTGCAAATTAAAGACTTTAGATCAGTGACATAAAAATTTTTTATTCATATTAAAAGTCACTGATTTACAGAAGAAACAAATTAAAAAATTAACCAGATCTTACCTATAAGTGAAAATACTTAACATTTTGTTTCTTGCTTTTTAAAATCAAATATTGTCAGGGCCTCCCTGGTGGCCCAGGGGTTAAGTCTCAGCACTATCACTACTACGGCCCAAGTCCAATACCCGAACTAACCTACATATGGCACAGCAGACCTCTCCTGTCTCATCCGCTGCTCCCCTTAGCAGTGTATTTCAGTAGATCTGCCTGCTCTACTCCCCTGTCTCTGGTAAATCCTCTCACCACCAGCACCTGCAGCCTACATCCCAGTTCTTCTATGCAAAAATAAATAAAATCTTTAATAAATAAATAAAACCAAATATTAGGAATGATTATAGAAAACTATCAAAGATATAGCATTTTATATGCTGTATAAATTACCACATGTGCATCTTACACCTCCCTGGGGTTACCAGATCTGCCCCTAAGATAATGCATACAATCAGAAAGTTGGTATAAGTATAGGTCTAGTAAACAAAATGGTTATTTCCCTTTCCAGAAAGGTCACAAATTTTATCATCTCTTCATTAGAGGTGGCAATTTCTAACCAGCTACTCTGGACACATTTTCAACACTGTATTATGGATTATTTTTGTTGCCACAGCCAATATTTATATTAAGGTAATTATAATACATATCTACATTTCCTTTAATAGCAATTGCCTTTGAAGGGAATCCTCTCACCTAACTTATACTATTACTACAAAACAACCATAAAGAATAGGCCCAATTATATAAAACCAGTATTATATTTTTAGTAACTATAACTGTAGTTACTTTATATTTTACTTTACTTTTTATTTATATTTACTTTATATTTATTTTTAGTAAATATATAACTATAATTACTTTTATCTAGTTTTATAAGATTCAAAAATACATTCACCCTTAAAGAAGGTCAAAGTTGATGGTAAATACTTACAAAGACTTGTGATGTTGGGACAGCACTCTTAGATTTAACCGTCATTTTTAATTGCTCCAGTTGGGCTCCCAACTGCTTTACCATCATTTCCACTTCTTGAGCACAAGTAATTATATCTGACTGAAGAAAACATTCAAATTCAGATTTTTATAATTTCACTATAAAATCATCTGTATTTTAAGCCCTGAATGTTCTCCATATCTCTAAAGGTAAGCTCAGTGAGAACAGAAACCCCATCTCAGGGACATTCCCAATATCAGAAGAGCACTTGTATACAGATGGTGCTCAAGAAATATTTACTGAGTAGATGAAGCTCTTAAAACACAAGAGCTTTCAAATGTATACAAATGGTCTTTTATATTCAGCAGATTACATTCCTGAGAAGTAGATCCTGACACAGCTGTGATAACTTGTTATTTCCACCATTCCTCAAAGATGAATTCCTCAGAAAACTATTTTGATAGCAACATTTAATAAAATTATATTCAAGGAGAGGGATATCTTCAAATCACAGCATTAAAAGCAATGCAATCTATTTCTAATACAGCAATGAAATCTGGAAATAAGGTAGTGAAAAGATGAATTTGAAAAATTGCTAGTATTTATTCTTATTATGTGATAAGCACTATTAAATTTTTAAAAGTATAACTGCAAATAAGAAAACCAAGATAAATAAAAGTAAATTGGTCAAGAATTACAACTAGGAAAACACATAATCAGGGTTCTATACCAGAGTCTGAGTCCAGAACCCAGTTCTTACCCACTTTTACTGCACTGCCAGA